TGGAAATGAGACACATTTGTCTTCCTATAGGATGAAATGATGAGGGGAGCATGGTAGCTCGAGAAATTGACCTTGAAGAGAAGAGGTGTATCGCCCACTCCGATGATTCATGAGCCATTTTCTCACTACCTGCTTTGTCATTTACCACCGATAGTACAAGATATTGTGGTGCCAAGACTGTTGTTATTCTCACGGTGGCAACAATGAATGACGATGAGGAACCTATTCTTCAGGATCCTATAGAACCAATTGCCACACATGAGGGGGAGAAACAACAGCCTCAACGCGAAAAATGTGCCAAATGTGGAGGCCCCTAGAAGGTCTCAAAGAGTTAGAAAATCACTATATTCCTGCATGACTATGAAGTATACAACACTGAGGAATTTTAAATGGAGGATGATCCCACCTCATTTGAAGAAGCTATGAGAAGTGATCATTCATCAAAGTGGCTTGAGGCCATGGAAGATGAAATGAAATCTATGAATGCCAATAAAGTTTGGGATTTGAAGATAATTCCTAAAGGAGCCAAAACAGTAGGCTGTAAATGGGTCTACAAAACAAAACTTGACTCTCAAGGGAATATAGAGAGATATAAAGCGTGACTTGTGGCAAAAGGCTTTATGCAAAGAGAAGAGATTGATTACAATGAGACCTTTTCTCCAGTCTCATGTAAGGATTCCTTCAGAATCATAATGGCATTAGTGGCACATTACGATTTAGAATTACATCAGATGGATGTAAAGACGGCATTTCTCAACGGAGACTTGGAGGAAAATGTTTACATGGCACAACCAAAAGGTTTTGTCATGGAAGGAAAAGAACGAATGGGATGCCGCTTAAAGAAATCGATTTATGGATTAAAACAAGCTTCAAGACAAGTGGTACTTGAAGTTTGATCGAATAATAAGAATTTTGGGTTTAAAGAGAATATAGAGGACAATTATGTCTATGAAAAGTTTGAATGGGAAGTTTATCTTCCTTGTCCTCGTATGTGGATGATATCTTACTTGCTAGTAGTGATGTCGGTCTCATCACCGAAACAAAGAAGTTTTGTCCTCAAAATTTGATATGAAAGATCTTGGTGAAGCTTCGTTCATTCTAGGGATCGAGATTCACCGAGATAAAAAAAAAAGGGGTATTAGGACTGTCACAAAGGCATACATAGAAAAGATCTTAAAGAAATTCGGTATGCACAAATATAGTCCCTCACCTGCTCCTATAGTCAAGGGCGACAAATATGGGGATTTTTAATGCCCTAGGAAACAATATGAGATCGATCAAATGAAAGCGGTTCCATATGCTTCAAATTGCCGGAAGCTTGCAATATGCTCAAGCATGCACGCTACTCGACTTGACATTTATTCTTTGGGTTACTTAAGCGATTCTAGAGCAATCACGGAATGTAACACTAGAAATTAGTAAAGAAAGTCTTATGTTATTTGCAAGGAACGAAAGACCTCATGATGACGATAGAAGATCCGATTCACTCCAAATAGTGGGATATTCAGATTCTAATTATGCGGGAGATGATAGAAAATCCACGTCTGGATATGTATTCACTCTCGCAGGGAGAGCTATTTCATGGAAAAGCTCAAAGCAAACCATCACTACATCGTCCACAATGTATATCGAGTTTGTAGCGTGTTATGAGGCAACGGGGCAGATGAACTGGCTAAAGAAGTTCATACCCGGTTTGAAGGTGGTTGACGACATCTATAGACCACTTAAGTTATACTGCGATAATAATCCGGTAGTACAGTATGCTCACAACAATAAGTCAAGTGGTGCTGCCAAACACATTGACATAAAGTATTATGTTGTGAAAGATAAAGTTCGGGATCATGTCATAAGTCTTGAGCATATAAGTACCGAAAAGATGCTCGCGGATCCGCTTACAAAAGGCTTACCACCCAACGTGTTCAGAGAACATGTAGTCGGCATGGGTTTAAGGGAAAGCCTATAATTCTTGGACAAAAGAAGGCTCAAAGATAAGTATCTATTTCAGAATGCAGTGGTGTATTGTAGTCAATTAAATCTATCGGCATTGACCGAGACGATGAAACATGCTCTATGCGCTAATCTATAATGGAATGAACAAAAGTAAATGATATGAAAATGAAAGATGGAAGGAGATCAAGGGGAGATTGTTAGATTGATCTCTAATCTTAATCGCACCAATGGCCCAGTTGGCTTGGCCTTTGATTCGCGCTTCTAATCGGGGGCGCCCATCCCACCATGGTATGAGAGCCCCTGTCACATCAAGGCTTATAAAAAGAGGTGGGCGGCAGCTCTTATCACGATGTTGACTGAGCTGAGCTCCCAACCGACACCGACAAACCCTAATCCGATCTAGAGGGCGCGACCCGGTGGCGGGAAGCCACCACCCACGCCTGCCGGACTCCACCGCCTTCACCGCTAGTCGCCACCTTTCATCACCGACGCCATCTTCACCGACCGCCATTGCCCCTAGCGTGAGACACCGACTCCATGGCAAACGCGGCGGATCCTCCTCTCTGCGGTGTCAGAGGCTCGACACGCCCCTCCACTCCTCCCTCTAATCTCTGTCTAGAACATGTACTAGGACATACTACCCATTTACATGAAGTACCCGCTAGATCTACGCTCCTAGAGATCCTATAAGTACAACAGGGTTCTCGACAGTGGGGATGTCTCCACAGCGATAGGCGAAGAGGAATGGTGGACTGGGGAGAGAAACGACCATCAGTGAGCAAAACCGTGATGGAAACAGATAGAAAAGGGGATCTATGACCGCGGTGTCACCTCGAGAAGCTTCTGGGCACGATTACGGCGACGACGAAGATCCGGGAAGCGAAGATTGGAGTGGCGGTGGGTGGTGGTCGTGAACGGCAAAGAAAGGGAGAAAGGGGAGGGCGGTCAAGGCTTTATAGAGCGGGCGTTGGAGTGTGGAGAAGGCAGGCGCGATCTCGGGATCGATTGTCTTTGGCGGTGATGGCACACAAACCAGACCTCCAATCAGCCAAAAAGAAAGGCGAGGCGGTGATTGGGGCGCCGGTATCTCCATAGCCGAGAGGAAGAAGAAGGAAGGCGAGGAAGGGAGCCGGCTGCCATGCGGCCTGGTTGCCGTGACAGAGAGTGGGAGGCACAGCTGGCTGGAGTGGGCTGTCGAAGCCCTACCGAGCGAGCCGATCGGGCCATGAGGATGGCCGGGCGCTGGGCTGTTCACGCGGGGCGAAGTAGGAGGTGAGTGGGCTGCTCAGGCTGGGCGCTGGGCGGAGCTCACGCGGAGAGAGAAGGGGGCGGGTTGGGTGGAAGAGAAGGAAACGATGGGCTGGTTCTGGTGTTGTGCTAGAAAGGAGTTAGGGAAATTTTCAAAAACAAAATTCTTTTCATTTTCTAGATTTTGCATGTACACTCAAACTAACCCTACACTCATCCAAAATCAAAACGCTTCAGCATGACGAAACAAACATTTTCCTAAACCTTATTATATTTTATTTTAATACTCAAAATTATTATATAACTAGTGATGGCATATTTGCGTGTCATTTAATTATGAATTTATTATTTCATATCAATGTGATTTTAGTATTTGATCTCTCTTTAATATACCCAATACCCGCTGAGTACCGCCAGGCACGGACGCAGGTACGGAAACTTACCTGTGGGTATGCTCGCTTGGGCTTGTAAAAGTTAGGGTCGCTGGTATACTCGCGACCTTGCCCGACAGCTGCCATCACTAGTTATAACAGTGACAGTGCGTTGGTGAAGCTGCGATTTAGGTTCAGGAACAGAACAACACATAACACAGGAGGATTCAGCAGGAATGTGATGAGTGCTCCTTTCCTATGCAAGGTGTTGTAGCACCCATTTAGCGATGCGTTGTGTTGTAGCACCCATTTAGCGATGCGTGTGCCGTGTGGTCCACTATATATTTCCTACCTGTGTAATCCTTAGGATTTTTCTTATTTTCTGATACATGTAGGATCATTGATGTTCAGTATTACCACAGAAAATGAAATAGTTCGGATTCTGCAATCAAGATGGTCATCCTCAGATAGTGTCATGACAACTATGCCATTCCTCTGTTGGGTCTTCCGATATTGGTCATCTTGCTCACAGATTAATGTTTCCTTTAGTTTGAATAAAACAAACATGTCATTTGGCAGTGTTCATGTCTTTGGTCAAGCATGCAGTTAGTTACTGCGTTGCCTTTTAATGAAAATGTGAATAATAGGCACCTTAGTTAGCAACTGCTTCAGAAGGCACCGGTGCACAAATACATAGTAATAATTTGAAATGAGGCCAAAGAAAAACAAAAGACTCAGACGGTAATGATCGTTCAAAGCGAAACTATCCTTACAATGACTTTGTCACCCTTCACTGAACTGAAAGTAAAGCATTTACAGAGCAACCAATAAGGGAAGAATCACTCACATAGAACTAACCGAAAACAAGTGCAGTGCTCTTCTGAATCAAACATGACAATATCCAACTATATCATTGTATCAGTGGCAGTTGACAGAACACAGAAGTACACATTTTATGTCAAGTATAGACAGGTCCACCCATTTTAGCTTAACCATATGCATGCCATCAGATAGAGAAAATGGGAGCATAACTAGCCAGCAGGATCTGCTCGGAACTGGATAGCATAAGGCCACAGTTTTCCAAAGGTTTCATTCAGGTTTCAAACAGAATTCATGCAAGTTTCAGACAAGTCTAATCCAGTGTACAGAAAAGGATCCCATGTTCTATCTTTAAAGGCGGCGATTGGGCGAGAGAGCTCCCGCCTGCAGCGGAGTCTGAGGAAAGGTGTCGAAGTGTTCTTACTTACCTCACTTTGTGCAATGCGAGGACACCGCGACTCGAACCCAGGACCTTCCGGTCACAAGTGGTAAGACTCTACCGCTTGCACCAGGCCCACCCCTTCTATCTTTGTGATAATAAAATTTACCTTTGTGATAATAAAATTAATGATATGAAATTGGAGAAAACATTTATTTAAGAGCCCAGGGTTATTAAGTATCAAATGGATCAACTAAAGATATGTTACTTGCTGGCTTCAGAAACCTGATGTAGCTCTTGCTAAATTTCTCAAAAACAAATTGAGCCCCCAAAGATGCCCGGCTGTCCACCTGTAACTGTCTTTTCTGGTTTGTCAACCATTTAGCGCTGCACACATTTGCACACAAGAATTTCAAAACCTGTAGAACACTAGCATGACGAACAAGGAAACTGGCAAGCTGCATCTCATGCTTTCGCCCCCTGTAACCTTTCAGCACCACTTTCTTGAGGTGATGGTGGAGGCACTCTATGCGATCATCATCCATCTCATGATTCAATATTCTCATGCTCTGGGGAACAACCATGTGAGACTGCAACACAACAATAGCAAAATTCATCAGCACAAGCTTTAACCAGGTGTGAACAATCAATCGATTTCCGGTAGGACGACTAAAATTACCATGACATAGAGCGTCTCCAAGCAGGGGAAACACTTCAGGAAGTCCGCCACAGGCTTCAGCTGCGGCTCCGCCATCTCCAGCGCCAGCGTCCTCACACACCGGAGCTCCGCCCCAGTCTAACAGCGCACATGGAACGAAATAATGCCGATCCAAGCTGCAGCTCCGGAATCCCGATCCCCAAGTAGCCGAGCATCTGCAGCCTCGGCGCACGCACTACGTTTATCGATGGGCCCCAGTTGATGTCGTGCGCCAGCAGCCTCTCCAGGGCGGGCGCGTCCTCGACGACGAGATGCTCCAGCTCGGCGCCGCCGCCCTCCTGCACGCGCCGCCGCGTCAGGGAGACCGACACGGTGAGGCTGCGCAGGCTCCAGGACCGCACGCGGAGGGCCCGGCAGCCGAAGACGCGGTCGAGCGACAGGCTCGCGAGCTCGGGGCAGCCGACCAGGAGGGCATGGAGCGCGGCGGAGGAGGGGACGCTGGCGAGGCGGAGGGTGAGCTCGCCGAGGTGGGGGAAATTGACCTCGCCGCCACCGGCGCCGTCCTCGGGGAGGCGGCAGTTGGTGAGCTCCGCGGTGCGGAGGGACCGGAAGGCGAGGAATGACGGAGGGAGGGGAAGGATCTCGTCCGAGGGGGGCCGGAGGACGAGTTCCTGGAGGTTTTTGGCGGCGAGCGAACGGAGCCAAGAGTCGAAGTCTGAGGCGGAGGGACGGGCGATGAGGAGATGGAACCTCACGGCGCTGCCGCAGTGGGAGGCGAGGATCCGGGACACGGCAGCGGAGAGGGAGGAGGCGGGGACGGGAGGTGGGAGTCGAGAAGGTGGAGTGGCGCGGAGGGCCATAGGCGGCGCCAGCGGTGGGATAGGACTTGGGTGCGCCCGGCGGCAGGGAGGGGAGGAGGGAGAGGATGGTGGTGAGGATGCAATCCGAGAGGGGCTGATAAGGTCAGGGTCCTCATCGTCGTTGCCGGCGGCGGTGATGGCGCGGATTGGATTCGCCGAGGCAGTGGTCGCCATTTTGGGGAAGAAAGGAAGTGGATTAGCACACGCCATGATACATTTTCGACTCCCGTTAGACTGTCTTGCACAATCGCGAACCAAAATAACAACCGTTAGTCTTACGGACAAAAGGTTAACAACTTAAAAAAATAACTCTTTCTAAATAGGTCAATACGAGAGAGACCATTCAGATTTAGTTATGTCCCACTTAAAATGGGTCTTCCATATGTTGAAGGCGTATTGTTGGGTTTGGGTTCCGCAAGGCACGGCACTTTGAGCTTGCCCAGTGGACAGCCGAACCTGTATTGAGTTAACGCGGTGCCAGCTTGAGTTAACCCAGTGGAGGACTTGTATCAAGGTGGAACCTACGAATTGTCGGCGTGGACGGATTGCAAAGCTTTGTGCGAAGAGATCGATATAGTCCTGCTTGATGTCCATGAAAGGCTTGTAACTTAAGGGATGTTAAAAGTACTACTATTATGTTAAGAAAACATCAACTACTGCATTTTATTCTATGAGATCGATGTGCCAATTGCAAAAGGCACGTTGAAAGTATTGCAAATCCAGTAACGGGAAAAAAAAATTAACCATTGTGTTTGACTCCAGTAGGGAAACACGTTATGTTTCCTATATGCTTTTCCTACATTGCTTCCAATGGCATCTTCATAATCTTCTTTTTCTTGCACAATATTAGATTCCAGCTCTTAAATGTAAGTGCTGTATGTGTTTCCAAGGAGGTGTCATATCCATAATAACATTGACTTGAAAGAATACATTGTCAACATATTCTTATTAGGATGTTCCTTTTGCTTCACTAATATTTCATATGCATTACAAACCTTTTGATTCAATGTGCTCCATGTTGTGCAAAGTGCAATCTGAGTTAGTGCCACTGCCACTCCCATGCCAGAATTGCTTACTCTTACTACAGTGGGCATACACAACTCTAGAAGCGAGGTTGATTGGCCCCCAGTCAACTATGCATCCTCCAGACATAACAATCAATTCATTCACAATCGGCTCAATGAAGGAATCTGGAGCTACAAAGTAGAAAAAATATATGCTGGTAATAAAAGGTTGCAGCTTCCAAAGAGCTGACAATCAAAAATCCAAACAAGGTTGTAGGGTATCAAAATTTTGATGGTCAAGAGTCGAGTCATGAGTAGATAAATTGTCTTAAATGTAGTTTCGATGAAGAGGCTACCTAATTGAATGGTCATTTGAATGTTCAGATTTCTTCTTCGTTACCCCCTTTTAGGCCAAGCCGTAGCTAGTATTTGAGCGCATAAGAGGGCGTTTGAGCTCATTGATTACTCCTAAGGCCTTGTTTGGATATATATGTATTTACTTCTAATCCATATATGCCGGAGTGGAATAGAATGAAACTTAGTTTAATTCCACTCCAATCCACTTCAACACATGTAGATTAAGATGAATATATGCGTATCATCAAAAAAGGCCTAAATGTTATTAATAATATTACCATGTTAAATTGCCCAATTCGAAAGGCAGCACCGCTTGCTGATTATAGTCACATATGTCGGGACTCGCACGTTCCAGGTTTTTGCCTCTCTCAGAGTACAGCATGCAACAGGTCGTAGAGGAAGGAAACCGTTGGATTGTGGCAGGTTTCGTGGACCTGGCGAGCTTGCTAGCGCTTGTTGTCTGATACGCGCGTAGTGTCGTTACACTCGTTTGTCTGTAATAGAACATTTTGTACCGGTGCTGGGTTAGCTGCAGCCTTAGATGCCTCCCTGAATGCTTCGCTGTCTTGCTTACTCTTTGTACTTTGCTTGCCCTCTTAATGAAATACATGTTAAGCATGTTCGAGAAAAAGTACAGCATGCAGTTGGTAGAGTAAGTTTACTGGCAGCAACGACGCATCCCGGGCTGCACCACCCTTTTTCTTCCCCATTGATTTGGCAGTGGCAGTTCGGCCTCCTCTGGCCATATCTAGATCTCCTCCTTGTCCAGCTCTGTGGTCCTCCAGAGCTCCTTCCTGTTCGTCTCGGACAAGTGGGTTGGATGGTGGTGGCGTGGCGCCGGAGAGGGAGCAGAAGGCAAGGTCGAGAAGGGTGCCGCCGCACGTCCGCACAGCCCATGCGCCACCACGGAGGAGCTCGTCCGCGGCCGCGCGCCGTTGCCCCGTGAACCGCCACGCAGCAGCTCGTTCGCGCCTCCGCGGCCCCGCGCGCCGCCACGCAGCAGCCCGTCCACGGCCTTGCGAACCCGCGCCGCCGCTCATCCAGAGCGGCCTCGCGCGGTCTCGGCTCCACGGAGGCAAAACAATTTGCGAGCTTCAGCTGAGCATGGGTGACGACGATTCGCGAACGTCTGCGAACTTCCGGGTTTCCGGACTAACGGGCTAGGACCCGTGATGAACCCCGATCGAACGGTGGATATCGCGTCATCCTCGAATCCTACGGTTCGCAGGTTAACGGGCGACGTGGCGGTGATCCGTGATCAGGCTTTTGGATGCAGGATTCCTATATAGAGATGGAAATTAAATCTATCAGATTTTTATAAATACGATCACGTAGTTACAAACTTGTTAAAGTAACAGTTGTAGCATAAATTTTAAAGTACAATCAAATGTATAGATACCTGAGATCCGTCTGGTAGGATCCAGGTTCACGGAGAATTTAGATTCTCTCAAGAAACGTTTCTCCGAAAAATAAAATCATTTATTGGAACCGTTTGGCTGGTTTCCTAAATTTAGATTCTGCATAGAGGTGGTTGTGATGGAATAGACAGTTACTACAAGGTGAAATAAAATATTTATAACCGTGAGCAAAATACATTGTTTTGGCTTGTACAGCCTTGAACAAAATACATTTTGCCATGCGTCCATGATTACTCTGAACAGAGATACACTCTAGATTGCATTATGGCTCTCGCAAGATCATCACAAAATATGTCCATATTGGTGTCTTTAGCTTCAGATGTTGATGCATTAGATGAATTTTGGGATGGTTGATGTCTCACATATCTTCGAGGTATTGTTGGTACAGCCTGTTCGTTTGGTCATAAACGATCGTAAATTTTCAAATGTATTAGTACTTTTCTCTCACACCAAACCAACAAATAAGAATAATCCACGATCGCTTTTTCGTCTCCCGAACAGGCTGATATATTCTAGATCCCGATCGCATCTACAGACATGCCTATCAAGTGCATGATTTTCATGAATGAAGTTATGGAGACACATAGTAGCTGCCACAATCATCTTCTGTTTAACCATTGGATAACTAGGCATCCTGAGTAAAATCCTCCACTTCATCTTCCATACATCAAAGGAGCTTGGTCCCTTCTAAAATCAGGAATATGGTACCTTTGACCTTTGTAAGTTGATAAATCTAGTACTATACGAAGCCTGCACCAGAAACCGGGCTGCCGGATTGTGCCACGTCGCCCATTAGTCCGATAGCCGTTGGATCTGAAGCAAACGCGAGGTGAACCGTCCGATTCCGTGTCATACGGGTCCGTCACCCATTAAGCGAACCCGAGCATCGCGCTCGCGCATACTCTGGAGTCTGGATTCTGGAACCCGCTCGACCGAGGAGTCATCTCCTCCACCTTGGACCACCCGGCATGACGGCACCTGCAGCGCCACTGGCAGCCATGGCTTCCCCACGTCCCCGAGTGAAGAGCATGCCGAGACTGCCTCGCTCGTGCTCCGCCTCCTCTCCTTGCAGCGCCGCCCCTCTGCTCCCAGCCCCAACCGCGGACCAAATAGCCCACACGCTTGCGTCCAGTGTTAGGAACGCGCGAGCTCCGCAAAGGCGGCCTGCACGGCTACGCCTCTTGAATTGGCTCATCCCCTTCCCCTTTCCTCCTCATTTGCTTGACAGCAGTGACAGCTCCTGCTCCAGCCTTGGGTTAGGCGGAGGTGGCTTCTCCAGGTGCGTTCATTTCCACGCGCATGACACGCGGGGCAGGTGAGCAGCGCCGCCCTCCTCGCCTCCTCGCAGTCACGGCCATTGCCACCTCCGGAACACCCTCCTCGCAGCCGCAGCCGTGACAGAGAGACTCTTCCCACTGATCACGCCTTATCTCCTCACGGCTCCTCCCCTCTCTGCTGCTACAGTGCTACTTTCCTACGTAGCATCTCGCTCGTATGTGTGAATGTCCATGCATACCAGTGTTCGATGAAATAACTAAAGGCATCAACTTTATTTTTTACTCGATTTGCTTAGATTTCCAATTTGCCATCATCGAGTCACCAGCTAGCACTATCCATTTCTATTTGGTAATTACAGTGTCAACTACCTTCGGAATAGTAAGAAAACAAATATACTTACTATGTGTAGAAATACTTTCTGTAATTTAAGCTATATATGTTATTAAAATAAGTTTCACTTTGAAACTTTTTAATCTTTGAGTTCATTTAACAATATGAAACACTAACCATGTGTACAAATAATTCGAGCCTGGCCAATTGTTTTTGCAGAGATCCATTATAAGCAAAACATCTATCTTATATTATCGAACTACAACTGACATGAAACAGGTTACTACTGCTGTTGCCACAAGGATGCACGAACAAAAGACTGCAAGGTAAACTCTTCTGTACAAAACAAGATCTCTTCTTCAAAATATTACTCCCTAATTATAGAGTATTTATTAGTATTTCAGATTTCTGTAATTACCTTTTGTCAGATTTCTGGATGCTGGCCAGGCCATGTACACATCCATTGACAAACTCAGAGCTGAATGCTTATGTATAAGGCATGTCTGGACCCAGTTGAGTCTAAACCTTTGTCCCCATCCTATTACACTTGCATTCTGATCTTAGAATTTCAATATTAGACAGAATATAATCAAATAAGTCAATAATGTTGGCCTCAAATATTGACAAGCGTGTATTTAGTTACAAAGTTTGTGGCATAACTGATAGATAATTTGTTTGATATCGATGCCTTGATTCTCTTTTACTATCATACCGCTAAGAGATGGAACGCCTTTCCCTCCTCTTCTTCTGATTCTTCCTATTATGTATTTACATTCTGGGCATCACA